ACCGACTCCAACTTCTAGCTGAGGGAGTCCCGCAGTGCTCGTCTTCCAGTTGCTGTCAGCGCTTTTGTCAACCGTCATCGACGACGACGACGATGCAGACGACTGCGGGTAATCCCCTGGGCTTCAAGCGGATACTAGGATGCTGTGAAAAAAACACATGTTTGCATTTTAATTTAATTACTTACAGCATCGCAAGGAGACCAAGAGACACAGCTTCAACACACACAGAGAGAGAGAGAGACACTACAACACTCCTACAACAATTTAATTGATTAATAAAGAATTGTCAAGCAAACCGAATTTTCGTTCACACGTCCTATGGTGTGGGCGCTAGCACTCAACATTGACAAGGGTTGCCAGATGGCACTCAGATGTAGCGCCCAAAATGTGACTAAATTATGTCCATGATAATGACACTCGAGGAGCCTTATGAGGTGTCTCATTTGTATGTGTCAGCTTGGAGCTGAAAACTGCTGCCCTTTTATAAAGAGGGGGCGCTTAAGTGAACAGAGTTGCCAGATTGATTCGAAAATAAAATGTAAAATAAGAAAATAATCTTAGGTGCACTGAATATTTAAAAATTTAGTTCAAGAACAGAAATTAATGAAAAGTGTTCTTAAAAGAAATGAACACAATGCTGCCAGACTGTCTAAATATTTGTTAAAAACTATAGAAGTTTACAAATCTGTTTAATCTATTTCAATTAAAAAAGAAATCAAAATTCATTTAAAAAATAGTAAAAAAATAATAGAGTTGCCAGATTGACACAATAATTATATATGCGGATTAGGGTTTTGAAAACAACTGGCAAAAAACCTTAATGTACGCATAACATTTATATGCATGTTTTTACAGATAAAGAAAACAGTGTTGCCAGAGTGTTAAATTATTTTAAAAGATATATGGCAGTAAAAGCAGTTAAATGGGCCGAAACATAAATGTTTTTATGGTACCCAAAGAGCCTCCGTCTATAGAGGCAATCAAAAGGAAAATGTATTATAAATCACACTTTGGTGTTGCCACATCGAGTGCAGCCAATGCAGTCAAGTTAAAAGTTTCTTTTACTTTCATCGTAAATCTCAACCAACTGTCAATTGCTCGAGTTCTATGGCACAATTCAGTAAGTGGTTCTTCATAAATCTCGGTAGCCCACAGTAGATTGCCCAACGCCCGACCGAAGGTGCACAGAACTTATCTGGCGTGTCCCCATAATTGGCTACAACTAAAATTACAAAATCAAGTATTGCTCTAGCTTATAAACAGAGCTCTTGTGTACACAAAAATCAGATTGAACAACTCGATACAATGTGAATAGCTAAAGCCGCCGCCAGATAACCCAGCGAATCGAGTGCAGAGCGAGAGCAGCCACAAATTGAATCTAATCGTGCGGCTATCTATGTGTAATTACAATTAACTGAGCGAGGGAAAACTAACGAGCTAAAAAGATAATGAAATATATATGTATATATATATATATATGTTTGTGTGTACATAATGATTGTGTGGGCCGAGATAAGCTAGCCAAAAGGCAGGTTCATGTGCTCGAGCAGGTGGGGAAATGTGCCAGATTGGGTAGCCATTGCGGTAGCCCCCAGAAACAGTTGCCCATTTTGGTAATCAATCATTGTCAATGCCGTCAGCCGTTGCTGTCAATGCGGTTAAGGGTGCAGGAGCTGACAGCAACTTAAATTGCTTACAACTATGCGGCACTAAGGGCAGAATCTTAAATTGTGCGAGTGAAAGGAGCAAGGCGCAAGGAGAAAAGTCGCTGGGACAAAGGGAAAATGAGGCCAATGTATGGTAGCAGAAACTAATAAAAATCAAAAAGAAATCAAATTAAATAAGCAACAACAACAAAAAGATGGCCAAGAAGAAGCAGTTGAGAGAGACGCATAGCATAATGACAATAAAGCAGAGCAATTACAGCGAAGCTAGGCAGGACGGCGATGCGATAAAGGAAGACGAAGGCTAAATTAAAGCGGGACTCTGATAAATTTCCAAAGCAGACACAATGAAAAATACAACAACAACAAATGAGTAGAAGACGAAGCAGAAGACGCAACGACATAAAAATGCGTACAGCCAAGTAAGAGGAAAAGTCAAAGGAAAGCCAAGGAAAAAAGGCGGCGGAAGGAAATGCCATTATGACGTAAATGTGCTAAAATAAAACAACATGGCGGACAACGACAACAACAACAACACAGCAACAACAAGCTGCAGCAACAACGACGAACCGTGTCGAAAGCGAGCAGAGCTCCCCGCAGCGCCCAGAGAGCATAGTCCTAGTCCCATAGCTATGTGTGTGTGTGTGTGTGTGTGTGCGTTTGGGGCTAATGTCAAAGTCAATCTTGGGAAAAACGCGTGGCGCATAAACATACAACAAAATAAAGTACAAGGCGACGGCAAAGGCAACGTTAAAACCAACCCCCAAAAATCGTTTTGGGGACTCGAACCCAACAGAAAAGAAAAACCGACAACTCGATTTTTCTTTTGACTAAAGAAAAATTACCGAAATTAAAGCAAAAGAAAAACAATTTTCCAGCGTACGTTTTATTTGTTTTTTTTTCCTCTGTTTTTTTTTCTGCTTCTCCTTTCCCTTTTCTCACATGTGCGAAAAAGGGTTCGGACGAAATCCTTCGGAGAGCAACAAGAGAAATTGTTTAAAATTGCAAACTGTAAAGTGGCAATGAGCGTCAGATGAAAATGTTAAACACGTTTTCCGATTGTTTTTATTTCTTTTTTCCGTCTGTCTGTCGCTTGTGATTTGTCTAGGTGAAGAGTCAGAACAAGCCGCAGCAGCACCAGCAGTAAAAACACAACAAAAACGTAAAGAAAATGACAACAAAAACAATGGAAAAACTGAAAACGAAAAACTTTAGCAAAATAGACGAACTGTTGATGCTCTAGCAAAGCAGTCACTGGACTTAATTCTGAAAAAAAATTAGTTTAATATATTTATATTAATTTATTTATATATTTTTTATTTTAAAAAATTTTCTGGAAGACTCATAAATATTCCATTATTGCATTAAATTGCTAAAGCGCAGCCAACTTAATGCTGCACTGAAGACCAAATCTGGCAACGCCAAACTCAAGTAACAGTCTGTGAACAACAAAAAGCTTAATGATATAATAAAAACAATTTATAGCACTCATAATTTAGCTTTTATTAGAGCCGAGCAACTTTGCCAGTGTTGCCAGATCTTAGAGAACTTAAATTTTGGAATATTCTAATACGAAAAGTCTACAGAAAACTCACTAAATTTGATGGACTCCGCCGTGGATTTCCTGCAAAACGTTTGCAGCACAAGCAAACTTGATAACAAAGTTAACATATACCCGACTAACGGTTATTGCGATAACTGCAAATACTGGAGCAACGGCTGCAACGTCTACAATTTACCTCTCATAGTCGCTCGCTCGCTCTCTTTGTCCCTGGCCCGCAGAATTTTCCCTTTTTTCCCTGCAGTCGACACTTTTGGGGGTGGTTAGATAAAATGTGGAAATTGTTGAAAACGTTGCCGAGACAGAGCCTGGCAGAGCCTGCTGCATCGTTATGTGCCCGGGTTCGACGGACTTGGACGCATTTTGGGGGTGGTTGGCGAAGGTGCGAGACGCCGCCATTGACGTAGCTCTTGTGCTCCATGTGCTGTGACCATGTCCTTGCCAGCCCGCCAGTCTGCCAGTCTGCCAGTCTGCTGGGTGCCTGTGAGCCTGGCAGGCATTTTCAAAATTTTCTTGCCTCTCGCGCTGTGGCGCAGCCGAACAGAAATAATAATAACAACAACAGCTTCAAGAGCGCCAGCAACAATTTTTGCCACTCATAAAAAAGGAAATTTGAACTTGGCCTGATGTATGGACGTCCGGGCCAAAAAAAATAAAATCAAGTAGAAGGAAAACTGCCAATGTGGACGACCACTGCGGCAAGCGAAATGAAAATGCCAGACGGTAGCCCTGATGGCCACCGGGTGGTGCGGCACAGGCAAAGCCACAGCCACAGCCACAGCTACTGCAGCAGCAGCAGCAGCAACCACAGCGTGAGCCGAGAGAGAGAGAGGCAACAGGAAGAGCAATGAATTTCACTCGAGAGTTGGTGAAAGTTGCCCTTGAATAGTGTTTGGGATTATTTGTAACCCCCAGCCCACCGACTCCCCTTCCTCTGTCACCGCCTTCCCTTATCCAGCTCCTTCCGTCTTTCAAGTCTATTTTCCCTCTATTTCTGGCAGCCAATTGAGTTCGTTTTTAGTGTTTGCAACCGAATTGAAGTCAACAAACAAACTAGAGCCGAAAAAAAACTACAAATAGAAGCTGAGCCCATGATATAAGAGTAGAGTTTTAATAGCTATATTGATAACAAACTACTTTGATGCCAGAGTGTTTAGTGCGAGATTGGATAGAAGTTAAAGAAGTGGTTTAAAATGGTTTTTGAATTTTCCATAAGCATTGCTATGCAGATTTCACAACATATTCATTTTCTTCTTTCTCTTTTCGGTTTTCCAAAGATTTATTTATCTTCAAATACTCGGCTTATATTTTCAAATATTAAAAACAATTTTGAATAGATTTTAAATTACTTAAAGCTATTTCTTGTGGTTTTTTTTTTCAATTTCTCAGAAGACAAGAGATTGATTTTAAGAAAAATAGAACATGATTCTGATTTAGATTTAAAAATAGTTACATAGTATTAATATATATAATTCGTTTTTTTAGAGAAAACTCAAAAGTTTTGGATTTGATTTGATTTAAAAAATTTTTTTTTCATGTATTAAATTTTATTTTAAAAAAATTTTAAATTTAAAAAAATGGATTTTAGAATTAATAAAAAGTAATAATAATAAATACTTTTGTAGACTGAATAGACAAATAGTATACAAATTTATATAAATTATAAGTTATTCGTTTAATCTTTTTTCTAGATTTTTATTAACTTTAAAATTGTTATAGATTTTTATTTGTTACTGAATTTTAATAGATTAAGCTAAAATATTAATAAAACTTACCAGTTTTCGTATAAATTGCAACTATTTGTAGATAGATTTTTGTTTATTCGATAGGCTTTTTATATTATAGTTATTGCACTTTAGTGAAGTTAAAAGATTTATGTGTAGGTCGTATACTTTTTGCATTAGCACAAAACGGAACGGAACGGTTGCAATTGCTTCTTAATTATTAAATTATGCGTAAAACATCGAGTGAAGATTTATGAGGCTTGCTGAAAGTGTGTGTTTTTTATTCGATTATTGTTTTTATTTTAATCCATTTTGTGCGCCTGTAAGAATATAGATTAGTTATTGACAAGCAATTAAATAGAGAGAGAGCGAGGAAGATTGAGAAAGAGGAAGAGAGAGAGAGATAGAAAGCGAGCGCTGGCACAACAAAAGCCGGCTACAAAGAGGACGAAAGATAAACGAGGTACGCACGTGGCAAAACACACACACACACACATAGCACACACACAAACACACACCAGCCAAGAGCAAACAATAAACAGAGAACGCCGAATGGCAACCAGGTGCGAGTTTGCTGGTCCAAAAAGGGAGGCAAAGAGTAAACAGCAAAAAGCAAACGGTAAACGGGAAACGGCAAACGACAACTGGCGTTGGCCCTGGCCCTGGCCGCCCGGCAGGCTAAACAACTAAATCAAATCGCAGCCAAGTGGCGGACCCACACAAAAAAAAACCAGCTGGCAACGCTCTAGTCCCTATACCCCCGCTCAACTAACTCCCTCTCCGCTACCTCCGCCCAGCCCACAAACATTTTACGTTGAACAATTCGAGTCCGCTGCCCGGTTGGCTGCCTCTCAATGGGCTCTGGGGCAAATATTTTAAATGCGCAGATTTTTGGCATGTTTTAGTGGCAGTTCACGTTTTGAATTGTTGGGAGACTAGCAAACTGGGAAACTGGGAGCTGGGCACTGGCACAGGCACAGGCCCAGGACGTGAAGCAACTCGTTTCACTGACAATTTAATACAAAAATGCCAAATATTTCAAAAGGCGCACAACAATTTGAGTTTCTCATCCTCTCTCTCCCACTCTCTAAAGTGTTTGTTATAAATAAAAACATATGATAAAACTAACTGCAAATTGAAGCTCTGACATTGTATGAGATGAAGAAACATTTCTGATAACAAGCCAATAAAGTTTTCATATACAAATATTACATTATATATTTTATTTATTTCTTCAGATTTTTTTAAATCTGATATTTAATTTATTTAATATGTATAAATTAAATATTAGATTTAAAAAAAATGAGGAAATAAATATATAAAATATATAATTTTATTGTTTTCTTTAAGTTTTCCTCCTATTTTTATGTTTTATATAATTAAAAAAATAACAAAAAATATTGAAAAAAAATTAAACTATTTAATTTAAAATTTTTTCTAATTTCTCTTTTGTTTAAATTTTAATGTTTGTAATATAGATATCGTCACAAATTTTAGTAACATTTTTTTATAGAATCAACTATGAGCGTAACATTTTTCTATTACAATTTTCTTTCCCACTATCTTAATTTCCATTTAATTTCTCTTTACATTGAATGGTATAAATAACATTCCGTTATTCCCCCTTGGGATTTGTCCATATTCACATATGCATGCACACATATTAGAAATTTCCCTTGACTTTTAGATTGTTGTTGCAGTTTAAAGTGGCAGCCCCGTTAAAGCAATGTAAGGAAGGATTCGCTTTGCGCTTTGCCCTTTACGCCGTGCGTGTGTTCCCTTTTCCGTTGCTTCTGTTGTTCTTCTGTTTCTGTTTCTGTTTTTGCCTTGCCAGACTAACTCAATTAAAGCAGCAGACAGGAGTTGAGTGCTGACTGCCAGCCAACATGCAAGAGCGAGAGCGCGCACATGAAGTAGCTGCTAGCCCTTTGGCTCATAGAAAAATATGCATTTTAAATACAAATATATATATATATGCACGTATGCAAGTGTATATGCTAGATATATTTTTTCTAAATTAAAAATATTTGCCGGCAAGCTTAAATTCCGTTTTGTGTGTGCTGTTAAAGCTAAACAAAGCGTGTCTACTAAAATTATCTAGATACTTTTTGCAGTTCTGCTAACAACAACAAAAACAAAGCGTGTCTGGCATGTTTCTAGCTGCTGCCGCTGTTGTTCTTGTTGTTGTTGGCAGCTCGTCTCGTAAATACGCTAAAACGACATAAAAAACGTTATTCGTAGTCTGAGCTGGCGACAGAGACTTTGCCGTTGCCGTCGCCGTCGACGTTCGCTCTCTTTTGCTTTGTTTGTGTTTGGTGTTGTCGTTGCGAGTTTTGTGCAACTGTGTTTTGTTCTTGCTTTTGTGTTTTTTTCTCGCATTTTCCGTCAATGATTTTTGCTTCACTTTCATCAAACAGCTGCGCTCCACAAGCTCACAAAGTTTTTGCTATTTAGATACACACACACACACACACACACATGTATACACAGTCACTCACGCACACACATTGTAACACACACACATAGTAACTCATGTTGGCAAGCTTTTGTCGTTTACCGTTTCGTTGTTTTGTTTTTTATTGATTTCTTTTTGCGTTGCGCGTTCGCCGCCGTTCGGTTTGCAAATGCCGCCAAAATTGCAATCAAATGCAGTTTTTATCAGTTCGACTCGCGCTCCTTCCACTTTGTCACTCTCTCTCACACTCTCTCAGCTATTAAACTCCCACACGCGATGGTAGTAGCGTCGACTGCGCTGCCGCTGCTGGCCGCTGTCTGTTAATTAAACGCGCGACTTTTTGTTATTGTTATTAACACGCCGTACGCTTTGTTATCAGCATTCGCCGCCGTCGCTGCTCTTGCTTTCGCGTTTCGCATTCACGCATTCTTTTACTTCTCTAACACACTGCAGCCACCGACCGACCTGCTGCCCTACGCGCTGCTCTGCTGTTGTGCGTTAGCGTTTGCTGCGCTGTTTGCCGCTAATCGCTTTGGTTTCTGCCGCGTTGCGTAGTTTTTCCGGTGATTTCCACTTGCTAACTGACATTTCTAGCGACTTTTCCAACCAGACCGCCGTCTGTGTCTTCGTTTATCGTGCCCATCGCGAGCACGTCGCCAAAAAGTGCGACAAAAAGAGCGCAAAAGAGACAGAGAGAACAAACAGCTGTCTACTGCGCCGGTCACAATCGGAAACGTTTGCGAATTGCGAGCAGCCGAGCTGCCAACTCGTTCCATATTTTGGGCGTTAAGTTTGAATCGGCGAATGGCGATGAGCAACGAGGAATGACTAAGGAGTTCAAAAAGTTTATTTTAATGCAAGCTTTAAACATTTGCTTTGTTTTTTATAAAAATAAGTTACAAGTGTTATTTAAACTGTTTTTATTAAATCCAATTGGACTTCAATTGGGAAACTTGGAATTTGAAACATTGCATTGCGCATGAGCTTAGAGCGAAAGTATTTCCTATTGTGGATTTTCTCTGTAGTACGCGCGTAGCAAGCACCAAGTACACAAAAACAAAGCGCCCCCAGCCCCCGTTAGGGATCCAGCTAAGGGTGGCTTTATAGCAGCTATGTAAGCAGATTGTAAGACCTGCCGGCCGGCTCACTTGTGGTCAGCTACCTAAAGGGTCGAAATGCTTCTGTTGTTGACAAATGCCACTGACATTGGCGACTCTGTTGGACAATACAGCAGAACGACAAAGCAGCTAGCTTCATAGTAGCTGAAGTAGGCTAATAATTCAGCTAGCATTGACTGTTAGACCAAGACAAGGTAGTCTAAGGACATAAAGGATATTATAAAAGGCAAAAGATACTAAAAATGTGAAGAATTTTCAATTAAACTTCGTAGATATTAGAATGAGACAAGCTACATGCAAAATATCCCATTATTACAAGAGTTGTAAGGGATAGTTACGAAAAATTTGATATCTTATGTGAAGTTATATTCAAAAAATAAAAAAGCTGCAGCAAACTTGGCCTATAAGCAGAAAAAGTCGGTTAAAATTTCCCAAAGCAGTAGCAGCAATTAGATAAAAAAGATTTCCCAAATTACTATTCTAATTAGAATAGGAATTTAAGATTTTTAACTCTATTTACCTTAAGCCAACGAAATGTCTTAAAAATAATATATTTATAATGTATATTACTGTGAGTTTGTCAAGTATATAGACTACCCTCGCATAGACAAACTTTGCTCAAAATTTATGTTTTAAGAAATTTCCCTCGACTCTTCGCATTTCCCATTTAGTTTGTCTGTTTATGCTTTTAGTCCGTTATGATATGCGTTTTGCCCCACCTCTGGCTTAATTGGTCAATAAATCGCCTTTGGCCAAATATTTTTTTAACAATTTAATTCATTCATGCCATTGTGGAACGAGCACCTGCGGCGCTATCGAAATATGTTTGCCTTGCAATTAGAAATTGGGGAAAAAAGCAATTGGACTGATGATGCTCAAGGAACTTTTGAGTTTACCACACGCTATTTTATGGCCGAGAGCTTTTGTTTGTTTACCGACCTATTGCGACTATGCGCCAAAATACAGAGGCCTGACTGTTGGCCAATTAGTTAAAATGCCAGCAAGACGCACTGCAGCAGGCAGCCAGGGTGGGAGGGGCAGGTGTATGGGAGGTGGGGATTGGGGTTGGTGTTGGCCTGGACATGAGATACTCAACGGGGGCGGCACTCAATTTGCCATTTTTATGAGGCGCTTGAGTTCAAATTAAGAAGAATGTGGTTTCGCTCTTACAATACCCTGTAAAATTGGAAAAGCGTAAAATGGGGCATATTGACTATGCGCCTTTAGGTATAACAGCTTGGCAGAGCCAATTGAGCTGCGTTTATCTGATAGGCTGCCCGCTGAACTGCCCATAGCTATAATAGACCTCATATAACTCGGAACCTATAAGAACTGTAAACTTGAAATTTTACATATTGGTGCTATATAGCACACACAGGTCAATTTTGCTGCAAAACATTGCCAACTTTTTCTATATCCTGAAAATTCATAAATCTCACTATGAAATTTCAGTTATTTGCACATAACTCGAATACTTTAAAGGCTAGCTTGTTGAAAATTTACGTACAACTTCTACTCAGCAATACACAGACAACGAGTAATTCTTTTTTTGAATGCCTGCCTAACTCACCATTCAAAATTGACAGTTAAGAAAATTTCATATGAGTTTTTGTGCCTTTTTTCATATATACTAGATATAACTTGACACATGACTCAGGGTATCTCCTAGTCGCTCACAATCAACTCTTAATTGTTTGTTTTTAGCGTTAACTAAACAGCATCAAGTGGCGAGGAAATTGAGTTATCCGCTAGCTCTTCAGAGGCGGCATCAGCAGCATCAGCAGCGGCAGGGTTCGCGCCCACATGAAGTGCACTCCATCAGTTCAGCCCGACTCGGCTGTTTATTTAGCATTTTTACACACGCCACAAATCTGTCCACAGAGCGAGAAATACCCCAGCCGCCATGCAGCTCCCTTGCAGCTCATTTGTTTTTATGGCCGGCTCTTATATTATATTTGTTAATCGTAATGATTTGCGCAACTGTCATTTGACACTTGTCTTGGCTGACGATTTACACTTGACTTTGATTTAATATGCCAGCTCTTAGAATGATCATAGTGCTGCTGCTGACAATCATAATGATGATGCTGTTGCTGTGTCGGAAATGCTTCATTGCAGTCGAAATTAAAGCTCATGTTGCTGCCCCGAAAATTCAGAGCTGAGCTGTCAGCTGGCAAGTGAGCCATCAGCTGGGCTTAAATTAAGGCCGCGCTGTTATTTAATTAAAATTACAAAAATTATAAACAATAAACAATAAGTGGTCTGTCAGCTGAGAATGCACTCTGTTTACATTTCGGCCGGCCGCAGAGCAGAGAGCGACGGAAATGCGAATATTATGACAATTGCCAGCGTCCTTTTTTCCTGCTTTTTGTATTTTATTTCTTATTTAAGACTGAAACACTGAGGTAGAGTAAAAGTGGAAAATATTTTAGACGAGACGGTAATTATGTAACAAAAATAATTTTAAATTAAATAAAGAATTGCTTGGGAAGAAAACAAAAAATCAATTGAAATCTGTGCCAAAGCTAAGCGAAACTAATGTGAAAAACTAAGTTCTTATAAGCAGAATAACGGATAGACAATAAGAATTCCAATTGGACGGGCTTTTTCAATTGGCAGCAAATAGAAAGACAATTTGTTGGAATATCCCAAAGGAGGAAATCTAATTGGATACAGGACATTAAAATAATTAGGCCTTTTTACTTAAATAAATTTAGTTTAAATTAAAAAATCTATAAATAATTGTATAGTAATAACTTTTTAATATAGCTTGAGTATTTAATTACTTTTTTTTATACCCTAAAAATATTTGAACAAGCCAAATTCAATTCATATTTATTCTGTAGCTTTTGATATGAAACTCTTCTATTGCCCATATTCCCCATATTCCTCTCTGCCATTTACAGCGCATTCGCAGCTCGACTTAAATGTTTTTCGTTTCCGTTTTTTGTTTTATATTTTTTCACACACTCACGCCGACTTTTAAACAATTTCCACTGATTAATTAATAACAATAAAAGCGTGGCACGCAGAAAAACGTTAATGATTAAATACAGCAACAAAAGCAACAGCAGCAGCAGCAACAACAACGATGGGCGACAGCAATTTTGTTGTTGCTTTTGATTTATAGTGGGAAATGTGAAAATATAAAAAATCGTAGCATACTTTTGGGCTGGCTGCAAAAATACAAAAAAGAGCTGCAATCGCGCAATAAATCAGCGCTTGGCCAAATGTGGGGGCACTGTGGAAGTGGGCGCGGTCAGGCTTGCATTGATGTTGCTGCTGCTGCTGCTGCTGCCGCTGCCATGGACGCAGCTTTTAAACAATTTGATTTTATTGCATGGCAAAATTCAATGAAGCGACCAAACGACCAAATGACAAAACGGCAAACGGCTGACAGCAGGCGCTGAAATTTGCATACAGCAACATACGCCACACATACAGAAAGAGAGAGAGAGAGAGAACGAGGAAGAGGGAGACACACACACACACAGTCAACATGTTAATGCAAATAAATTGCCTGCTGACTTTATTTAAATTTCCCATAAGACACACATGGTTTGAGGGTGAGGAGGAGGCAACGGCAGGCAGGCAGGCAGCCTCTGCTCGTGCAGAAAACTTCTCCAGCTTCTCTCTAAGCAGGGCAACGAAGCGGCAAAGTGTTAGGCACCAGGCCACCAAGGATCCAGTTGGGAGATTTGTGTTCGCCCAAACAGAACCGCAAGCAGCAGAACATGTGTTGCCTCTGGCAGCTTTTTGTAATTTTAATTTTGATTTTAATTTGTGTTGAAATATTTACATAATCACTGACTGACAACAGGCTGCACCAGCACCCGCCCAAGCAACAGGATTCGAGCTCAAGCAGCTGCCGCCTCAGCCAAATTTATTAAACTTTAATGAAAATGTATAAAGCACGCCTGCATAAATGATTTAATAAGCACACACGCATCGCATGTGTGCGTGGGGGAGTGAGTGGGAGTAACTATGTTGTTGTTGTGCATCTCATAAATGAGGCATTAGCATTAGCCATTTGAATTCCACTTTAACTGCGGGCAGCCTAAGCTGCTGTCAACAGAATAATCGGATGATCAATAAACACAGCAGGAAAATCTGGAAAAGCGAGACAAAATTATTGAACTAATGTTGAGACTGAGACTGAGACTGAGACTGAGACTGAGACTGAGACTGAGACTGAGACTGAGACTGAGACTGAGACTGAGACTGAGACTGAGACTGAGACTGAGACTGAGACTGAGACTGAGACTGAGACTGAGACTGAGACTGAGACTGAGACTGAGACTGAGACTGAGACTGAGACTGAGACTGAGACTGAGACTGAGACTGAGACTGAGACTGAGACTGAGACTGAGACTGAGACTGAGACTGAGACTGAGACTGAGACTGAGACTGAGACTGAGACTGAGATATTATTATTATTATTATTATTATCATTATTATTATTATTATTATTATTATTATTATTATTTTTATTATTATTAACATATCATTGATTAAGTATTTAATTAATAATAAATAAGTTTTAAGGAATATCTATTTTTCTGCATTCACATTCACTGAAAACAATTCTTCAAAAGCTTTTTCAAGGCTCTTGAAACATAACAGCAAGCTGAAGGACTTCTCTAGTCATTCATAGAGGCGTGTGTCCTTCGGCTACCCCTAGCCGTATGTTAACAAAAAATCCCAAGTCTTATTAGAACAAAAATTCAAATAAGAACGGCGCAGCTTTGACCATTTTAATTGCACTTAGCTGGCAGAGCAACAAGCAAAATGTGAAAAATGTGAAAAATAGGAATGAAAACAGAAAAGAAAACATATTTTTTTTTAATTAGAGCTAAGAGAAAGAGCTAGATAGATATGCATATGTGTGATGGCAGGCCTTGCAATTAACTTTGACAGTGCGGCTAGAGTGGGCAAATCTTGAAGGGGCAGCAATCGCTTTCACTTGGCGCAAGATCAAAGAGATGCGAGCATATGCAAACAATGGCAGCTTTATAGAGAGCTTCAAACTGGAAGCTACTCCAGCTGCAGCATGAAAACGAGCGCTTAAAATGCAACTGCAACTGCAACAACAACGACAATAACAAATGGCAGCGCAGCTCAACTTTAGATGCAAGCATAAAGTGGTAGAGAGGGCGAGGGAGGGGGACAGAGCGAAGGAGGATATATAGGAATAAGTGAATGAAAATTTTTTGCTGAATGGAATGTAACTAGCGCTGCCTTTGCCATTGCTCTTTGCCAGATAAAAGCCACCGTGGAAACCCATAAATACAGGTAGTCGCATTTTGAATGGCTGGGTAAACGATGCCAAGTTGCCAGAGGGGGACAGCTGAGGGGGGTGGAAGAAGAGTGGGGGATGTGTGCGCTGCCTAAGTGAATTGCCGCTTGCCACAGGACCACACAGACAACCACATGACAATGCCAAACAGAGCTCGACTCAACTCGACTCGACTCGACTTCTAGTGGAGCCTGATTCCAGGAGCTCTATTGCATTGTTTTTAGTTGCAAGTCCCGGGCAGAAAGCCTTTGATTTATGGCACATGCGTTTTAATTTTGATTGTATTTCCAAACGAGCCAACTCTTTGAGCGTGTGTGTGCAACTGAAAGAGCGAGAAAGAGCGAGTGGGAGAGCGTGGAGGTAAATGCGGTTTTAATTGGCCAGCAAGAAAAATTTTGAAAAAACTGTTGCCTACTTTTGAGCTGAAACTCTTTGGGAAGGTGAAGAAAGGCTCTAATAGAGAGCAGACAGAATGGAGATGAGAGAGTGAGAAAGTAGAATTGAGAGTGAGTGAGAGACAGAGCAGAGGAAGTTGAATGAGAAAGAAAAAGAGATAGTATATAGAACACAAGAGAGCCTTAGAGAGAAGGTTTAGCAAGCAATAAAGATCATATATAGAGAGAAAGAGAGTTAGATAGACAGGGAGAGAGAATATGGATTATTCGAAGAAAGAGAAGATAACAAATAAAGAGAGTCACGCAGAGAAAAAGAATGAGAGACAGTTATAAAGAGTGAGAGAGAGAGAGAGAGAGAGAGAGAGAGAGAGAGAGAGACAGAGAGAGAGAGAGAGAGAGAGAGAGAGAGAGAGAGAGAGAGAGAGAGAGAGAGAGAGAGAGAGAGAGAGAGAGAGAGAGAGAGAGAGAGAGAGAGAGAGAGAGAGACCTAATTAGAGAATGAAAATGGGAGTGAGAGATAGATGGATTGCGGAGAAGAGAGTGACAGAGAGTGAGAGAGAGACAATGATAGAGAGTCAGAGGGAGAAAGAGTTACACGGAGAGAGAGCGAGAGCATTTGAAAGACTGAGACAGAGAGAGAGAGAGACGGGATAGTATGCCAATACGAGATCGTTCAAAACAGAGAGAGAGAGAGCGTATGGAAAGTCAGAGAGAGTGAGAGTTAGAAAGATAGAAGTGAATATAGAACTATCATATCCGAGTAATTGTTCTTATCAACATATTGCACAAACAACAGATGCTCTGTATTCAAATCGAGCAATGCAGTCTGCTCTAGTTGAAAGTGTTATTCTCTCAACTAAGATATATAATAAAACTCTACATATATATGTATATATACATATATATATGTATATATAACTATAAATTAACGCACTAAGCAGATATTCTCTCTCGTTCTTTCTTTCTCTCTCTCTCTGATCCAACAGCCTCTATATAAAGTGCTCTCCAGCTGCTTACACTGCCAAAGATGTCTCTCCGCCAATATAGCCAGCTACACTCCTGCCAAACAGTGTGTACAAAGGCGAGAAGTCGCAACGGTAAACAACATTTTCCACAAATCTCATGTTAATTTTTGTGGAAAAATGCAGCAAAGGAGCTGCTGCATATGCAGTTGCAGTTGCAGTTGCAGCAAGCACACAGCACGATGGCCGGAGGGGTCGTGCCTGGCTGGCTTGCATAGATATGCACGCGAGGCTATCAACTGAGGGCGTACACCCCAGCCCGCAACACACCCACCCACGCAGAAGCGCCACAAATTGCGGCAAAATGCATTTTTCACAAGACACAACGAGAGCTGCGAGCCGAGGCACAAGCAACGAGAGATGCAATCTCAAGTGGTTATCTCTTCTGCATATAGAAGAGAGCAAGAGAGAGAGAGAGAGAGATGGGGAGTGAGAGTGGTTGGGGGCAGCTATAGTCCTCAGAGTCCTGGCAAAGTCAACATCAAAGTTCACGCCGACAAAGCGTTGCGAGTAAATGTTTAATGAGCGAAGTGGTTGGGCGCAGGGGCCACATGTAGTTGGAGCCGGAGCCGGAGCTGGAATCAGAGCGAACGACTCCTTCAAGCCGGTTCGCATGCCAATTAAAACAAAAGCCAAAAAACAAATGCACTTCAAGTGCCAGCTGCCAGCTGGACGGAACACTAGAGCAGCACGTTTCACACAGTGTCAAAGGCGAGCCTACCGCTGCGCCTGGCCCGGCCTACCTCGTGAAGTGTTTGGACTAGGCGGGGGAGGAGGGGCGGCCATCCCCTAGCTGACAATGCAAGCACTCCAAGCAACAGTTCAGCCTTTGAAGTCAAAAGGATTTCGAATGTTGGGCGGTTGGGCTAACTCCAAATTAGCTACTCTTGAAGAAAGGCTGAGGGGACTCTGGGAACTGGCAGCTGGCGGCTGGGGCAGCTGCAATAAGGTCTAAAAGTGTTAGCTGCAGGCCACAATATGCTGCAGCTGCAAGGTGCTAGAATGTGGGCAAAGGAAATGAGTTCTTCGAGGCAAATGATGGGCGGGGGGAATTGAGAGGGAGTTGTTATGAAGAAAAGCTTATTAGGAAATGTCCTTGATTGTTGAGCTGGTCTGGGAGAGCAGATTGGCACGGCAATGGACAAATCTGTAAGCATCTTGTGGCAGAGTGCCTCCGCTCCCTGCTGCTGCCTGTGACACACAATTTCCCAACACCAACTCCCATTTTCAATCGACTCAGTCTATCAAACCTCAGCCAGACTTTCATGTATAAAGTTCCCATCAGGGCAATCGTTGCCTGGAAATATAGATTTTATGGTTTCCTTATAGAAGGAACACTTTGCTAAGGCTGTCATCTGGGCCAGCTAGTACAAATTGTGAACAATCTCAGTGTATATTCAGCATTCCATAGCATTCGTCTATTTAATGCTACGGAAAAGCAGAATCCAAAAAAAAAATAATACACACAGCTCGAGGAGTCGTTGACATCAACTTTTCTCACTAATTCAACAATATTTGAACGTTGGTTAACAATTGTATATATTTAATAAAAACGTGTGCTTGATTCAACGTCGTTTGGCCGAAACGGCCCGAATTAATTTTAAACAAAACGCAAAACGTCAACTGCGAAGAATTCAAATTTCTGTATTTATTTTCATTTGGCTTTGATAGAGAGAAGCCGCTGGCGCTCTAGTCCAAATTGTTTGCTCGCCAAACATAAGGTAAATTTATATATATATTTTTGATCTGGCAACAAGGACTGTTTGAAGTGCAGCTGCCACGCCATGGCTGACAAGGAGCCGAAGATTGACTTGAACGACAAGGATTTGGCTTCGCGCAATCCCATTACTGGCATGGGTCTGAACGGAGATGGGGTCGGTGGCCTAAAGCCCAAGATTGCCAAGAGCCGAGGTGAGCCACGAGAGTCAACTCAACTCAACTAAACTAAACTAATCTTTACTCTCATATATAACATTGCGAATATCTTTCACAGCGGGCAACCCGGTTACTGGCGAGGGCTACAGCTCGGGTCACACCGACATGGAGGTGCTGCGAAAGATTAGTCGTCGTCCTGGTCCGCTTTCCAATTAGTTTTTTTTTATTTGTCATTAAAGCAAGAAGAATTAAAAAAGAAGACGCCACTACATACGACCCATGCCGAGTTTCCTTTGTTAAACAACACCACGCCGTTTGACATTTTCCATATACGATTTTGCTGCGGAAGACGAAATAAAAAATTGGACTTACCCGGGAGAGTTTTACTGTCGTTGGGTGGCTAGCAAAGGGGCGTTAATTTAGTTGGCTAGATTAAAGCTGCATAGTTATAATATTAGAACTGAATGGATGATGTGTATGTAGATTGAAGCGCTACTATGGCTGAAGCTTTACTTGGTTAGGCTTCTTGTTTCTGGTCTTGAGGTTATAGCATATGAAATATGTGAGGATATAGAGTATGTATTGCATATGGAAGTTACTATAGCTATAGTCGTTAGTTTTCTAAAACTTGGTTAACCTTCAAGTGAATCTGGATATGTGCTGTCCACACTTTTAATTTGGAAATCTGCTGCGAATAGCAAATAGCATAGGAATATGAATAGAAAATATAATATGAATTATATAGCTAAACCTTTGATGCTTTTATCCATGCTTGCTTAGTAAAAGATATATACACAATTTAATATATATTATACACAATTTAATATATATATATATACAATTTAATATATATATGTATACTATATGGTATGTTGCCAAGCAAATTGCAAGTCTCAACGTATACAGGAATTGAGCCTTAAAGGTTAGGCTACAGTTAGAGCTTTGTAGTAATTGAGCAGCTTGATAAAAATTGTATTTTTTTGCATAGCTTTTAGTATAAATTAGTTCTATCAGAATTGTGTGGTTCTACTATAGGTAAAGCAAGTCTACTCATTTTCATTTCACTCCTATTCATTTGCTCTTCTCCCTATCTGAGATCCTTATTTTTTCAAATTAGGGAAGAACTCTGGGCATAAGAACTAACTGAACCTTTAGCTAGTTAAATAATTATGCCATGCCTTTAAGCTAGTCCTTGACTAGTTAGCTAGCTTTCCGTATAGTCTGCAGGTAGTTTTATTTAGAAATTCATATTTAGTTGAGTATTTGAAGCGCCTTAGACGTAGTTTCTCTACCCTGCCGCAACACTCTGGGCTGTCTCTGTCTAACAGTCTCTTATCTGGTTTGCATTTGTTTTATGTAATTATATTATATTACAATATTATATAACTATAGTCATGTAAGCCCAGGCCTGTTAAGTTTCTCTGTCTCTTTGTGTAAACTAAACTATGATTAAGAGATTAATAATGCTTGCTTTATGTGAGCCCTTCACAACTTTATCGCTTTTTTCCCTGACTTTACATCAATAAAAGTTGGCTGAATGACAAATTAAACTTAATGGAACATCTAGCTAAGCCTTACCCAACTATTTTTGTATAGAAACGTATCTTGCTGCATAGTCTGGACCCAGCTGATGCTGCTCTATTCCTGTAGATCCTAGCTATGAATAGGAAATTAGCTTTAGCCTTGGCTACGCAAGCTCGAACCAACTTCCTGTGGTTAATAATTTTTATTGCTGCTTGGGCCTTAGTCCGTTAACTATTTAACCAGCTCGACATTTGAGCCACTTTATCCGCAGTTTTTTCTCGCTTTTAATTATGCTCAGCTCTGACAGCTCCCGCCTGCACAATGGATGCCAATGGAGCAGCTGGCGGAACTGGCGCCCAGCGATATGTGACAGCCATTTAATTTGATTTATGGCCAGTGAATAGTCTTGATTAGAACGCACCCGCCCAAGCATGGGATTACAGTGCGCCAGCGGAATGTGTGAGTGTGTGTGCGTGTGTGTGTAGCGAATTTAACTCAATTTCACATAAATCAAAAATGTAGCTAAACCCAGCCGGGAGCTATATGTGAGCGTGTGGGGTTTCCTCTTTGCTCAGCGCGCACCTTGGCGCTAATCGTATTTCAATTGTTGAAATGAATTGCGAATTGCGAATTGAATGAAGTGCTGAAATTTGAGTGCGGGGTTCACAGAGATACACACACGCACCTACACACACATGTCGATATGTATCTGTGACTGTGTGAGTGTATTTCAATTCCCTTATGCAGCATCTAGAGGAGTTTTCTTGTCTGCTCTCGTTGTCAATGCGATTACCGTTGAAGTCGGCAGCCGGAGCGTGGCTACAAGTTCATAAAAGTAACGCCAACAATGAGCGAATTTAGGTGTCAAACAGCAGGTGGCAATGGCAGCAGGTAACGGGAAATGCCCAAACAGTTGGGCCCGGCCCCACTCTGACTGCAGACTGTGGACGCTGGGTCCATGGAGTTAGGATGTTTGGGGGCTTTTGGGACTGGGACGCGTCAGAGACAGATGATATCTTAAACACCACACACACACGCATAGCCAGATACACAATCACACATGACTACACACACACACACAGAGACAGCAAAATGTTATCAGTGAAGCAAGCGCCTGGGCTGTTGTACAATTTTTGACATGGGTTTCCCAACAGCAACAGCAACAGCAAAAAAAAAACAAATGCCAAACAAAAGACCAACAATCGTTGGGTTTGGGTTCTGTCCGTGTGCTTCCGTGTGTGTGTGTGTGTGTATTGGCAAACCGCAAGAACATCAACTGATGGCAGATAAATTAAATTTTGCGGTTCTAAATGGGCAATCAATGAGGCGTACTAGCTGGGTAAGTCAGGTGAGGGTGCGTTCCGCTCTTTTTTGCACTATCGAAAATAGTTAAATTTAAAAATTTAACCAACGATTGCCAATAAGACTTGACCCCAGACTCTGGGCAAAGTCCCTGACACGTTTGGCTGTGTCAACTGTGGCAACTTCAAAGGAAGCCGAAAGAAACGCCCCCGTCTGCAGCTGCCCACAATCTCCTTCCAACTGTTGCAACAGCAAAAAGAAAAAATAGAAAAGTTGTTAGCGAAACTTTTGCTCGTCCTCAAATATTGACTTAAGCAGCAGCGCGCGCTCTCCTCGATGACTGCAGCGCCTCAATTGTAAGGTGTCCTGCTCTCTCCCTCGCTCCCATACTTCGAAGGTGTTCTTTGGCTGTGAGTGCGTTGTACAGTTGACACCTTTTCGCTCTGAAGAGTCTGCCGTGTACGGCTGACTGTGTGTGCTTGGCTGTTTATTGGTATTTATTTGGCTGCCGGCACGCCCAATCAAACAGACATCGCAGCTGCTTGACAATAGGAAATGAGCTGCACTTGCTATATGTATAGGAATAGATATATATATAAATATATATATGTTATTTATGTATGTATTTAATAGACTGGACAGAGTACAAAGTATTGGTTGGAGTTAATTTCGAACTGAATTTAAAATAAAAATGAAATGTCTGTAATAATATGTAATTGAATATTTTATAATTACCTATTGTCATTGTCATTGTCATTGTCATTGTCATTGTCATTGTCATTGTCATTTGTCATTGTCATTGTCATTGTCATTGTCATTGTCATTGTCATTGTCATTGTCATTGTCATTGTCATTGTCATTGTCATTGTCATTGTCATTGTCATTGTCATTGTCATTGTCATTGTCATTGTCATTGTCATTGTCATTGTCATTGTCATTGTCATTGTCATTGTCATTGTCATTATCATTATCATTATCATTATCATTATCATTATCATTAACATTATCATTATCATTATCATTATCATTATCATTATATTATCATTATCATTATCATTATCATTATCATTATCATTATCATTATCATTATCATTATCATTATCATTATCATTATCATTATCATTATCATTATCATTATCATTATCATTACCATTATCATTATCATTATCATTATCATTATCATTTGCATAATTATAAGTATTACAGTAACATACTTTAGAATTCATATTATTAGCTTAGTCTAGACTAGGCAAGTAGCCCTTTTTTATGAGTGGGTCAATAGACTTTAACAAGTGTACGGACAATTGGGCTGCTGAAGGGGCTCAGATTTATGCCACTTCAATGGACCACACGGCAGCAAGATATTTATTAATTAACCATTAACGCTATGGACTGGCCAGCAGCAGCAGCAGCAGCAGCAGCGCCAGCATTGATGATAAATGGATGTCTGAAGTGCAATTTGCATGCGAGTTTTAAATCAGCTGCAATACAAAAACCTGGACACGAAAGGCAGAAGCGCAACAGCGCAGCAGCAGCAGCAGTAGGACTGGGCACAGGTGCCGGAGCAGACGTTGATGAGCATCATTATGGCAAAGTACGGAACGCTGTGGATGACATGGATGGATGTTCAATGGGGATGACAATTATGACATGGCATTGGCAGCATTATTGCCTGCTGGCTGTTGGGATTAACGCCATTTTAATTGAATTTTAATATTTCACACACGACTCGAAAAGCCGGAAATGTGACGTGAGCTGCCAGCGGCGGGCTTTGAATTTGCGCAAAACCGCAAGTAAACGGGATGCCCACGACTATCAAGAGGATGCTGTGCCGGGGCAATGCCAATGAAATCGCCATTATGAAAATCTGCCATCTGACAAAAATGGTCAGACGAAAGCAATAATTTGACCGGCCCGACTGGCTGGTTAGCTTTAATGTCAATAAATGGAAAATAAATGAAAATGGCCAATGAAAAACTTCAGTATTTATTACATTTTTATTTACTTAATTATTTAAAACATTTTTTTAAAAATATTTTTAAAGTATTTTTTTTTGCTAGAAAATAAAGAAGTTTTTGAACTTAACTAATGAGAAAAATAAAAAATTAATTAATTAGACAATTCAAATTTATATTCAATTTTATAAGCGTCAAAATATTTACATATAATAAAAAATTTACTTACAAAAAAACCAAAATAGTTCTTTTAACTTTACTTAGTGCTTGAAGAAAATAATCAAAATATATAAACAAATAAATATATATTTTTGTTTAATTTAGTTAGCTTCAAAATATTTATTTAATGGGAACACAAAAATATTATTTAAATCTATATTATTTAAAGATTATTTATTAGATAAATAATAATATTTAAATATATTAAATAATTTTGTTTAACTTAAAGGAACCCAAAAATATTAACTTCAGCTTTTTATTGTGATTACATATTTCAATTAGAATATTTTCGCATAATTTTGATAACAATAAATTATATCTCCTATTTTTACTCCTATGTCATCGAACGTGCTTCAGTTGTCGCCTATCGATAAACAGTGCTCCATTTATTTTCGAATAGCATATGATTATTTTGTCATCTCAAAGCGAAAAGCAGGAGAATGTGAGCTTATGAATTTCAAAAATTATATATATATAACTATATGTAATCTTAAATATATCTGAACAGCAAGTAAAGGATGTCGCTTTACAGATCGAAGCTGAGACAGCTGAAGAAGTCGCAGCTGCTGACAGTGGATGAACGCATACAAATACTGGAGCTGGAAATTGATAAGCTGGCCAAAGACGTGCTAGCCTATAAGAAGTACTATAGCCGACCGAGGCGACTACGAGATGTGAGCCTGCTAAGCGATACGGATGATGAGCTGATTGATATTGTAGTCGAGATGACAGATCTGCATGCGGCAGAGCAAGCGGAATTTGTGAAGCAGTTGATGTGCCACGAAAGCTTTCCAGAATACATTTAGCCAGACCGAGATCTGACGATATCATGTCTGTATAGATGTTTCAGCAATACCAAAATATATTCAAATGTGCAATTGAAGTCAGCTCTATATGTGCAGTGTTGGCTAACGCTTTGGGGTACACACAACAACAACAACAACGACAACGACGACGACGACGACGACAATAAGTTGGTTCGCCAACAATTTTCTCGTGTCCAAATATTAAATGACCATTGTGACAATCAACGACAAGCGACTATAAAACTGTCAACTATTGATGGCCTGAGTTTCCTATGGGGAGGGGCGGCGTGTAGTGGTAGATACTATGTTGGTGTTCTGTCTGCAATCAGAGTTGGAAATTTCTTCGCTTGCTTTTTACATGCAAATTTAAACGAGTTTCAATCACCAGCGGCCATTGTCTACGGGCTCCATTCGAACTACCCCGCGCCCGCCCTCTCTCCGTCTCTGTGTTTGGCACACAGTGCGTATGAGCTATGAAAAAGTAATTAAATTTAAGGGCGCACACAACTGGGCAGCCAGCTAGTTAGAGACGGAGCTGAGCGACTCCCTGGACACAAGTAAAAAAGTGTCATTATTAACGCATTGAACGCGAATGCCAAACAAGCTGACAGCTGTGCCCCAACCAGGCGGGAATTGTGTGTGCTAAAGGATTCGACTGGACATTGGAGTGTGGGGTTTGCCGATTGGCTATGGGGGTGGGTATGGGTGGTTTTTCTGTTCGATGCTATTGACACTTTTCACAGTTCACGAATGACATTTATTGAAAATTTCATCATTAGGCAACAGAGAGAAGTTTGTCAACTTTTGCAGCATGTCAAAACTTGTTTAAATCGACTCCTGTGACACGCTTGTGTGTGAGGTATAAAGGTTCATATCATATTAGTGTAGGTTTATCTAGATGGCAAGAGAAATGTTGACAACCCTTGCATTTTGGGCTCGAAATCAGTTTGGCATCAACAGCAATTCACTGAACAGCAAAATATCCCCAAGGATCTATCCAAATTTTCTGCTTCTCCTTTTTTGTTGGTTTTTGCATAATTTTCAAAAAGAAAAGTTCGAAGACAGTTTGGAGATGCAAGCTGACAACAACAACAGCAATATATATTCAACCCCAAATCGAAAAATAAACAAAATGTAAATATAATATGCTCGATGGTTGGAGTAGGAGTTGGAGGTGAATGAGACAGATACTTGTGAGATAAGAGAGGCAGCTTTATGCTTGTTATAGAAGGTCAATATATGAAATATATATACATATATATACATATATATATATATATATATATATATTTTTTTTTTATATATATATATATATAAATGTATAAATGTGTTATTAATAAAAGAGAGGTAAGCCTGAAATAAATTCATTGAAAATACTTTTATAAATATTTTCAACAATTTAATTAAGCTCTGCTAAGAGTTGAAATGTTTAAATATAAAAAGAGAAATAATTAATTAAAAAATGGCAATTATTTAATTTTATAAGGAAAATAATATAAATATTTCAAAGCAATTCCCAACTTTTTCTAGTGAATAAATCAAAGTTTAATATTGACATATTCTTAATAAATAAATTTAATATAAAATATGAATAAAAAGAAAATTATATAAATTAATATTAAAAGATATTTGCTTAATCTTAAAATAATAAAAATAAAATAATTAAATTTGTTTGCCCACTGTGCTACAGACTACAGTATATAAATCTCACTAAACAAATAACCCCAAATATTTCTTAAGTAAATATTATTTAATAATATATTTATATATATGTATATCTATCTTTTTTTCTTACATATTTTGATTTATATATTTTCATAGACTTTTTCCCCACATCATCTTTATTTTTGTTAGACGAAATAATAAGTTTTCGCCCTCATTATTTAGCTGCTATCGATCTTAAGCGCTTTTCGAGCCCCCCTCAAAGAGCCTTAGCTTAGTTTCCCCCCAGCATATTAAACAGTCGTCTGTGCCACCCTGACGTCAGCTACAGCAGCAGCAGCAGTGGCAACAGCAGGGGCATGGCCACGCCCCTTTGTGGCAACAGATTCCATTCGTGTTTTCTGGTTTTGCCTGCGGCAAACATTTACCGGATTTTCGGGCAACGGCTTAGGGTCGCCTTCAGCCTTCAGCATTCAGCCGTCAGCCTTCAGCCTTCAGTTCGTAATCAAAAATGCAATGTTTGGCTTGGTTAAGCGGAAATCGGTAGATTGCGTCGCAGCAACTTGCTTGTTGATATTAACACCTCACACCAAGCACACACACACACGCACACCCTCCTTCCCCCCGCACGCCTTTACTTTAATAGGATTTGTGTAGGTTAATGAAACGTCACAGATGATGAGGACTTAGATTTCAATGATATGTCAAAACTGAGTGATGCTGTTGATGGATGGACGCAATTGCCATCCTTTGGCTGCCACGCCCTACTTTTTCTCACCCCATTCTCGCCGCTTGCCCTGCCTCTCATACATCAAACGCCGCAGCGCATAAATTTAGAACATTTTTGCAACTTGAGCAACGCATTTACATGAGATTTGTGCCTGACTGAGGGGAGTGTGTATGTGTGAGCTGCAATTGGAGCTAAAGGGCTGGGGCTGGGGCACACAGTGTTAGAGCCTCAACAAATAAACGAACATCCGTTGCCATCGTCACATGAAATGCAATTTTCATGGGTAAATAACATAATCAACATTTGAAGCCCAGAGCCAGAGCAGCCGAAGTCTGCAGCAGGTAAGTAGCAGCTGCCATACGCCTCCTTCGTGTCGCCGTTTAACCGCAACGAAAATGTTTCAATTTGCGTTGCCAAACGTAATTTTTGCCATATTGAAATTTGATTTGCGACACCTTTTTGGCCAAAGTGCAAGCGACATTCGCTGTCAACTGTTTGCGCAGAGTCTCAAGACGCTCCTCACTCTCTCGCTGGCAATTCAATTTGTGCAATTTGACAAATTTGATGGGGCAGGTGAGCAAAGTGGGGGCACGTGTAACATACATAATTTTAATGGCATTTACACAAGTTAGACACAAGACAAATTATTTTCGAAATTAACGTTCAAACTGACTTTAAGTGTTGGTAAACGAATTAAGCTTGGACATGCTTAAGAGCAACTCATATGGGACTAAAAATTTCTAATTCATTGCACTTTCAGGGCTTAAATGGGGCCAGGCGAGAAATGTAGCCAAGTTTGCAAAGCAAAAAAGAAAGACACAAAATGTAAACGCTTTTGCCTAGCAAAAGTGAAACGAAACATAAACAAATACGACTCGCAGCCAAGCGACTTACATCTACTGATAAAGAAAAGAGGAGCTCTCTGTATGTGTGTGTGTGTGAGTGTTGCCCCCCAGACTTAGGCGACGTCTTTTAATGAAAGATGACAACAACCACATGCACGATAAAAGGTTGTCATTAAAATTGCAACAGTTACCGCAGTCGCATCATTAGAAGAGACCTGCGAATGCAACTGCGACTGCCACTGCGACTGCGTTTTGGGTCTAAAGTAGGTTGGCGTTTAGCAAATATGCCATCAAATGAATGTTTAAGGGAACTACAAAGGCGTCGCCGTGTGCCAGGCATTGAATCAAGATGAAAGTTGAATACGTAATTGATTAAAGTAGTTGTAGTTGTATAGAAAACCTGAGCAAACCCGCTAAGGCAATACATGTTGGCAGCGCTTAAAATTTAAAGTAGCGCGCTCAATGCAATGTTGCCAGATAGGTATAAAAACAGCTGTTCGCAAGCTGTCTAACAGAGCTGAGTTCATAACAGGCAATATATAAGTTGTATGTTTACAGTACAGAACATGTCAGTGTAATATGACTGCTCATAATAGAGCCGCAAATGTTATTTAACATGTTTTTGTTTTGGAGGCAAAAAAAAAAATATCTTTCATCTTTCATTAATAAACTTAATCGTTTTCTCTGTAAATATACACTATCTGAACATTAAAAAATATGGAGCACACTTCGTTTATCTCTTTACACATATATTTAATTCAAAAAGGCAAAGCAGTTAACTAAAGCAAACGCTTTGAAGGCTCTGCATCCGGCTCGGCATTGCTGTCCAGCGGGCGAGTCAGCTCAATGGCGTTGATGCGGATCATTGTGTTGGGAGATCGCTGAAAGTTGATGCGCATATACTGTTTCCTGCGCTTCTTCTTGAAGTGTGTCTTCGTGTGCGTCAGCGTCTTCTCGATAATGGTGGCCTTTACAGTGACAAGTCCCGGCTCGAGAATGGGCCTTCCGATCAATGTGAAGTCACGTGCACCCGCCAGCAGTACTTTGTCCAAGCTAATCTCATCACCTATCGTTGGCGGCCAATAGCCCTCGACTAGAATGATGTCTCCAGGTGTAATCTTAAACTGCTTGCCACACAGGTGAACTACAGCGAACAGACGGCCCTGCTCTGATTTAGCCACCTGCTGATTAATTCGCTCGCACACTGTTTGGCACTCCTTTTGATGCTCCTTGGCAATGACGGACACATCAATTGTAGCGGGTTTGTTTTGTTGCTGCAATGTAGGAGCTAAGCTCAATGCTCGCATCGCACCTGCGACGGAACATGGAAAAGGCGAATGTTATGTCATGGCACGCTGAATAAACTGTTTACAAGCTTACCGCTTAATGTGGCACGTTGTGTTGTGTGGCGCAGAACCTGGCGCACGCTCTGTGCTAGCAGTGACATTTTTTATTCAGCAAAATGGACTTCAATGTTAATAGAGTTTTTATTAATAAATATTTGGGCAAGACAAATGTGCCGATAACTTTACCCTCTCAGCCTATCGGTAGTGCTGCATAGGATTGAAGCAATATCGCTTAACAGTATAACAACAGTACTTGCATGCGCTCAAAAGCTAGCTGATGTGCGAGAGTTATCGATAAGGTAGGCGCTGTTGTGCACTTCATGTATTTCATTTAAAACATTAATTGACAAGTGCCGTATACAATTAAAATTAAATAAATAATAACTAGAATATAGCATATGTTGGGTAACATAAATGTTCGAATTAGTGTCGATAACTTTAATATACATTTTAGGGCTACCATTGCTTGACATCGCTGCCTGCTCTTCAAAAGCTAGCTGCTCTGCGTAAGTAATCGATACATTCTATCGAAACAAGCGTCGCTGCGCACTTCAAGCATTTAAATTAAAGCGGAAATTTACCGTCGTAAAACTATTAAAATTATTTAAGGCTATGGAACGTAAACTGTTTCGAGATCCGGCTCTAGAACGCCACTTCACTGGACACAGTGGTAATATTACTCAGCTGCGCTTCAGCCCCGATGGCCATCAAATCGCAACCAGCTCAATGGACACTACAGTTATTTTGTGGAACCTTAAGCAGGCAGCGCGTTGTATACGCTTTGCCTCTCATTCTGAGGGCGTTTATGGCGTCAGCTGGTCTCCAAAGGGCAACTTCATAGCCTCCTGCAGCCATGATCGCACAGTCAAAGTCTGGGAGCCCAAGGTGCGAGGCGTCTCAGCCGAGTTTCTGGCCCATAGCAAACCCGTACGCAGTGTGGACTTTGATCCAACAGGGCAGCTCCTGCTGACTGCATCCAATGACAAGGCGGTCAAACTGTGGCGTGTATCAAGGCGTCAGTTCATCTCGTCGTTTGCACAGCAGAACAATTGGGTGCGTGCTGCCAAGTTCAGTCCCAATGGCAAACTCATCGCTACTGTTAGCGATGATAAATCTTTGCGCATCTATGACTTGAGCACTGGGGAGTGCGTGCGCACCTTCACAGAGGAGCGTGCCGCACCGAGGCAGCTGGCTTGGCATCCTTGGGGCAATATGGTAGCTGTTGCCCTCGGCTGCAATCGCATCAAGGTCTTCGACGTGGTCAATAGCCAACTGCTACAGCTTTATGTGGTGCACTCGGCGCCAGTCAACGATCTGGCTTTTCATCCGAGTGGCAACTTCCTCTTGTCCGGCAGTGATGATAAAACAATACGCATATTAGATCTACTCGAGGGCAGGCCTATCTACACGCTGACTGGGCATACGGATTCGGTGAATGCAGTTTCGTTTAATCAGGATGGCAATAGGTTTGCCACTGCAGGCAGTGATCGTCAGGTGAGTGCACTGAATCAGCAATCATATATACATGTATACAATTGTATTGACCTCTTTGTTATAGCTCTTCATTTGGCAATCCAATTTGCATACTTACGATGCCTCGCAGTTCGATGAGAAATCCATGACATCCTCCTGTGACATCAGCAGCAACTCTAAAAGCAGCAATGCCGCTAATTCCAAGACCACTAATGATTTGAGCATTCGCATTGATCCACGTGAATCGTTGGCCTACCAAACACTCGACGAGCACTTCCAGGTGGTTGACAGTGAACACACAAAACAACAAACACCGCTGAGCTACAACTCTAAGTTGTCAAGTCCCAAATTTCGTACCGAATCGAAATCTCCGTCCCTGCAGCTAAAGACAAAATATAATGCTCCGTTTTTTAAATAGTTTATTTCTAAGCAAAACACACAGCTGCCTCACGACATAGCAAAACCCCAACTGCAAGCTTATAGCATAACTTGCCAAAACCTTCCACAGGTATTGGATGTATCGCTGGAATCCGAGTCTAGTTCCGAGTGCTGCACCTGTGCCGCTCAGCTCGATGAGATGAACCAACAAATGAGGCAGCTGGAGCAACGTTTAAGGCGTTTAGAAAGTTTACTCTTTGACTAAAGTTAAATACTATGTTTATATTTCGTTCATTGTGAATCATTAAGTTAATTATTTAGCTTTTGTTTGTAAAGAATATAAGACATTTATCGAGATACTTGTTCTTTTATGCATAATTGACTACTGTTGCCTATGCAATGCTATGGGAGAAGCGCAAGCAGAGAAGACTAAGAATTTCAGACGACCCTTAAACAGAAATATATATAATATGCACATAAATATACAGACACACATATGCGTATACATATGAGCTTACCAACTTACGTATATGTAGAAATACATTCTCTTACATTTAGTATAATAGAATTGATGCTTATACGATTTTATGAAATTTGAGGAGAGCATCTTTTGCAAATTCTTAAAAAAGTTGAGTAATTATACAAATGCAAACAAGTATGACAGCAAATTATATTAACAATTTCACATACATATATGAATATATACAGACACATGTATATGTATTGCAAGCGTACATATATAGATATATCCTTTTATATACTAGGAAAAGTCCAGTAAATTCTGTTTGTGCTTCGATCAGAGTTCTAATAGACTACACTTAATATTTATAATTATCCTGCTAATCTCTCAAATTTTTTCACTAATTTTCAAGTTAAATAAAAATTTGTACAAGTGAAAATTGGAAATTAAATTTGATAGCGACTTGCCAAAGTCATTTATAAAAACACATATATATTTAATCAAGTTGGTATGTCATATATAAACATATATATAAATTGCTACCCCTTGCCACAGCCATTGAACTGAGTTCAGTTCATTCAACTGCTAACCAAATGCCTATGGAAGCGGCCGCTTCTAATGATCATCGCGCAGGGGGCAGGTTCAATGGCATTTGCTAAGCAACTTGTTGCCGTATTTATAAGCTAATTATGCACTCGCGACATATTGGCACAAAATTGCAGTGGCTAAAGGCAAGCCGAAGCCGAACTTCAAGCGACAAACACAATTGGCAACCACAATAAAGAAGAGGCTACTTGAGAAATGAGTGTGACAAGCGAACAATTTGCACCTGTAGACAGTTAGCGCTGTAACTGTTCTTTGGCCAAAATGCAGTTATAGGGTGCTGAACTAACCCTTTTGGGCATAGAAAAAGGTCATTGTCGTGTAGGCAGGTTCAATAAACTGAAACCTTTTGCATTTTCAAATAAATAAGCTACGATGCCCTCGAAAAGTCGAAAGGAACCGCAAGCAACCGCTTAACAACTGAGCGGGATCTACGGCGAGCAAGAGCCAGTGCATTGTAGGAGGCAGCAGCAGCAGCAGGAACAGGAACAGGAGCAGCAGTGGCAGTGGCAGTGGCAGTGGCAGAGGTCCTGCATGTGGCATGTGCCACAAACGAGCCGAGGCACCCTCTCGCTTTGCTAAGCTAAGCTTTTGCCTCTGCGCTTCGGGCACTTGCGTTGGCTCGTGTCATCTGTTGAATTATAAAATATGGCAAAGGAATTAATTTGCTTGGCGTACGAACAGAGTCGAATCTGGCACAGCAGCAGCAGCAGCCGCAGCAGCAGTCGCAGCAGAGGAGCTCTTAGGATAACGCCTAAGGACCCCTACCAATCGTTCCATCTACCGCTATGCTCTGACTGCAACTTCTTTTGCTTATCTCTGCGCACCTGTCGCTGCTCGATCTGCAGACAAAATGAAAAGGTGCGCTTAAATTCTTATAATGACTCGGACAGAGCTCGACGCGCAGTCAGAACTTCACTCTGTTCTTTTTGTCTGTCTCTCTCTGTGTGTGTTGCATCTTCTTGCCGCAATTTGTTGTCCTTTTGTTTGCCGCTTGCCGTCTGTTGCCTCCCAAATCTGTCTATAATCTGTGTTTAGGCCATGCACATTGATTTCAGCTCAACATCAGACAAAACACCTTGTGCCTTCAAAACTCTCGTTTCTGGTTTCTGTTCTTGTCCCATTGCCCATTGATAATGTGTTTATTGGGGTATATTGGTTTTGTGAAAGTGTATGTTATAGGTTGATGAAGGCGTGGCAACTGTCATAAAGTGTTTGTGATCGAAGCACGTTCATCCGCATGTCCGTTAGTCCGTATATTCTCAGTGAACTCGTTAACTACAAGAGCTGAGGGACTCATAATTATAATATATATTTTTTATATACCATAGAAGTAGAAGTATTTTCGGCAATTTTTATCGTTTGCTTATTATCGATAAATATCGATTAGAATATTAAATGCATTTTATTATTTTATTATTTTATTTTAAGAATAACTTCAAAACCATAAAAGTTCGAAATCCCAAATTTAGTTATCTGAGTTCTGTTATAAATACATAAAATATATCAGGTTATACTGAAACTTTATCAAGTCATTCCCAATATGAACAGAGATTATACTAAGTTTTTTGTTATATAGACACACCTGGATGTCAGCATATATGCTCTGAAAATTTTATTAAAATTTTACAACTACAAGTGAAGGTATTAAATAACAATATAATCTCAAAGCAGCTCAAGGCAGCTCTGAGAGAAACAAATGATACCAGTGTGTGTGTGTGTGTGTGTGTGTATCCACACATAAACATACTTAACTATAATTTGCTTCCCACCGCATTCAGGGTATTCGCTAGTCATGCACTCTCGACTCTCTCATTGCTACTCGCTTTTGTTGTTGTTGCACTCTTGGGTCTTCTTGCTCTGCTGCTGCTTCTTCTTCTTATTGGACTGCACCTTTCTGGGCCGTTTTTGGCTGTGGCACATGGCAAAAATCCGTACCATTTTGTGTGTTTAGATTTTGTCATTTTAATTGCTGGCTCGGGCTTTTGACTCTTCGACTTTTTGCACCCTGCCGGCTAAGCTGAGCTGATTGGCTCATTGTCTGCGGGTTGTTTTTGTTTGTTACTCGTGGCTCTTGTTGCCAATTAAGCTGTTTAAATAGATTTCACAATCTGCCTTGTCTTATATGTGGCTATATGCCCTGCCACTTGACTACCCCACGCACACACACACACTAATACATATATACTATGTATGTGTATATAGTAGGGGTTGCATATTTGACTTGGATTTGTCATTCATTGCTTTGCCTTTGTCAATGTTCGCATGCAAATCGAACGAGCTTAAGATTTTCCTAAGTAAGGTAAGGCTAATCTCTGACTGTCTTTCTGACTGTCTGCCTGCCTGGCACTCTGTTGGCTTCTGATTTGGTCGGCGAACTTGCTAAACTGTTTCCTATTCCATTTGCCTTACCAGACTTTAATGTCAACACAAGCAGCTGTATTTACTATCTGTGATATATATATATATATATATATATGTATATATTTAGTTAATAAAACTGAATTAAAATCATTATTTATTTAGTCAAAAATAGTTCAGAAAAATCCCGTATCAAGATTAAAAAATTATTTTAAATGAAAATAACTATATATTTAAAATAATTAGCCTATATTCATGCTAGACATATTATTCTTAATTTTTAAAATGTAAATATATTATTTATATGTATTATTATTTATCACAGATATCTTGTATACATATACTTTACTATAATTTTAATCATATATGAACTGCTTCAATCTATTTACAACTTCAAGATTGCTTTAAGAATCAATCAGTAATGGATTAATTAAAAAGGACACCATGTGCAACGCAACTTACAGCTGCTTCATTAAGACACTTCACTGTTACACACACTCATAGACACTCTCACTGCATGTGTCAATCTCTAACAATCAATCCTACATAAATTTCATATGCCCAACTCGGGCTGCAGGTGACAATGGCTATTGAGGGTAAAAAGCAATCATAACTTAACGATTTGAAGCGAGGAAAAACCCATAAAAACGAAGATCGAACAATATAAATGAGAGCAGCAGCAGCAAGGAGCAGGGAGCCAGGAGCAGGCTCTAGCTGAGGCTAAGACTGAGGTTCAGGCTGCAGGCCTAAAGGTCCCCTAAAAATTGGGTCATTTTGGCTGCTTGTAATATCGATGAGCGTGACAGGTGCAGGCGCACTTACAGCACTTGTTGTTGTTGTAGTTGTTGTTGTTGTTGGTTTGTGCACCTTCCATTGGTTTTTGTTTTTGTTTTGTCATCTTTTTTTTTCTTGTGTTTTGCATGCGTCAGCTTGCGGCACACTCCCTCAAGGTGCACGGAGCCTAGATTAGACGAAGATTGCAGTCTGGCTGCTTTGTGGTTGAGTCGAGAGATTTTTATGACTGCTGTTCGGTTTTTGGCTGGCGTGTGGCCCACATGCCAATTGGACCGGTACAGGTTGCTGCCGCTGCTGTTGTAATTTGGCTCGACTGCAAGCCTGGCATATGTTTGCCGTAAACCGGCTCTGAGCACGCGTCTCGTCTGGCTCACAATTATTGAGCCAGGACGACGACGACGACGATGAGGAGGAGGTGAATGTTGAGGACGAACGATGACAACGACAGGTTCCAGGATTCAGCAGGTGCTGGCGCGCCACTTGTGCGGCTCGAAAAAGGAATCGGAATCAGCGCTGCTTACAACGAAAGGACATAAACATAAATGAGCCGCTGTAACATTTTGCCTTTACCTCCTATTCGGCTCCTGCGGCACAGGTGCCTTTTGCCACAGCCCTCGTCGGCCTTTTAATTGTGCCCTCGCTTAGGTTCACCTGCAGCAGCAGCAGCAGCCCTCGACTGCAACTGACCTAAGACATCTTTTTTTCATGTGACGGCCTCCACGTCTTGATGTCAGTCTCTCTCTCTCTTTGTCTCTGTGTCTGTGTGTAGATCCTCGCTCGACCGGCTCACCTTTTTTTTTTTAGCCGCAACTATTATTTTTATTAATAGCCAAAGTCGAAGTCGAAGTCGAAGTCGCAGTCAATGTGGAAGTCACCTGCCCGGCACCTTTAGCTAGGGGTAGCCGGAAAACGGATATGTTGCGGGCCTAGATCACTTCAAGGCACTTCTAAGATGATTTTCCCCTCACGACTGTTTTCTTTATTTCAATTTGGGGTTGCAGCTTTTCTTTTTTTTACATTTTTCTTTCTTCTCTTCTCTTATGTTCATGGGGGCTTGTCGTCTATTTGTATTTGAATGCTGTACAAATTCAAATGCCATGACAAATTATGTGGGCTCAGGTGTTAACGGCTTGGGGGTTAATAAACCTGAAGCCAACATATGGCAGACACAATCGCAACTTTATCAGCTCTTAGCTCGCGCTATGTAACGGGGTTTTATAGAGGCTTTGCTTGCTTCTTGAAAGGGTTTGTCATGCAGCAAGGGAATAGCTTGGACTTGAATCTAGTTCAATAACTGTTTTAACTTAGATATTAAAAATATATTCTTGTAGATGTTTCTTGTTCCCAACTGATCTAAACAATTTCTAAATAGGCCCAGTTCTGTTTGCTTCGGCATTTTGTAATATCCAATATTGAGCTGAAAAATATATTTAAAAAATTCGAATAATTTATAGGTAGACTTCAATCTTTTAAAAAATTGCTTTTTATTTTTGTTTTAAAGGTATAAATTTATAATATATTTTTACAAATTTTTCTAATGATAACTTCAACTTAGTTTCAACTGAGCTAAAAGTGTTTTCATTTTTTATTTCGTTAAATTATTTTAATCTCTTTCTCAACTTTGAGTAGAAAGCCCCTGATTAACCTATCTAGTCTCATTTCAGCTCTGTTTCAATATTTATTAAGTTCTTAAGCTTATTTCTATGCCTCTCAATTTGTTTCCCTGCTAGACTGTTATAGGTCAGGATATGCTGAGCCTGACTGAGACCCAGACACTTGCTGATTTTTATAAAAAACACAGAGTTCAGAGCTTCTTCTTATTGTTTTGTATTTTCGGAGTTTCAATTAATTTTGTATAAATATAAATATTCTAATATCGGGCAAATTCTTGTCACGGTAAATGCGTCTCTTTTCGCTTATGAAATACTTGAGCTAGTGGAGTGGCTACGTTGCACAGTCTCATCTGCAATTTATCGCTTTGTCGGCACTTGCCCCAAGGTCCTTGGGCTGAATTTTTTTGTTGTTTGCAGCCGTCAATGCAATTGAACTGCATATTTTCGACCGCTGCCGAATGATGCTGTTCTCATTTTTTGTCTGGCCAATATTTTGTCAATTTTCGATCAATTTGTTGCATGCCACAAGGCACAAGTGGCGAGGCGCTGCACAGGCAGAAGGCAGCCAAAGTGAAATCCTTGCCAAATGTTCGCTGATTTTGATTGCGAGCACCAGATGAATGGCGATAATGAGAGTGGGGACCCGGAGTCGGTGATTTGTAAACTGCCAAACTTCATTTCGGGCGTTTTAAAGTGCCGCAAAACGCATTGACATTCGCTTGTTGGCCGGCAATTGCAGCGATCAGTGATCGCCGATGATGATCGCTCCCGATCTCACTCACTGCTCGCCTCTGCCATTGCCATTGCCACTGCCATTGCCCACAGTCAACTCTCGGGCGCAATTAGCTGGATCTTCGAACACTTATTGGCGTTTTGCCATGCCCGATCGCGTCGCCCGCTCGCCTCCAGATCGTCTGGTCTCTTTTCCAGAATGGAAAATGCTGCTGCGGCTGCTGCTTGTAATGCGGCGTTTTACAAAGCTCATTCCTAGCATACCGCAATGAGCGAAGATCAAAGATCACCGCGTCACCCGAAAACAGGAGCAGCACTCAGTCCCCCAGTCCCTTAGTCCCACAGTCCCAATTGGCGACGTGCAGAAATTTAACTATAAAATCAGGTTTTCGTCTGCCCACAAAACAAAAACAAAAACAACGCAAAACATATTTGGAGCATTTTTGGACAATTTGTAACAAAATGTTGCCGCAGCAATTCAGCTGCTCGAAGAGTTCGTCCTTGCTACAAATGCATTTAACACTAATAGAGACAAGCAAATTGATAGATCTGCAAATATTTGAGTAAATGAAGGACACCTGAGCTGCAGCCCCTTAAGGCTTGGCTGCATAGAGGACATTCCAAGCATTTTATGAGCTCTGCTGAGGAATTTTTATTAATCAGCTGAGGACCTACTGAAGTGCAAAGAATGTTTAGAATATTTTTAATATTTATATGTATTTACTTATACATAAATTTAACTATCCCTAATAATGATTATGAGATTAAATATTTTGATAAAATAATAATAATAATTTAGAGCTTTGGAATAGCTGTAACTGTAACGAAGTTTAGAAAAAATCAAGCTAAGTTCTAGAGGTTAATCTTTCTATTAAGAATAAAGTCTATTTCATTTCTAAATACTAAAAAAGTATTTGAGAATAGTAAACATACTAAAAATAGTCTAAGATGAGTTCAAAACTTTAAAAAGTTATTTAAAATAGTAAAAAATACATAAAGTTGTCCCAATTAGAACCGGAGTCTGACTGCTCGAAGATCTCTTAGTCAAGTGAAAACTATCTAAGAATGTTTCTTTCTAGCTGTATTTAATTGAGTATTGCTTAGCTCATTAAGAACTTAACGCAATAGCTAAAAAAAGCTCTAAATTGTTATCCCAATAAATATTTAATATTTATTTTATGTAACAAACAATTTTTAAATAATAACAGCAAAATTCTTTAAGTTTCTTTAGCTTTCAACTTTATTTTCGCCAAAAAAATACAATTAAACATAGCTAAATACAAAATGAAAATGATTTTTATAAATTATAAAGAATTGTCATGGAAAAACTTAAGAGCTAATACATTCATATAAATAGATCAGGTTCTCAATGGGGCTTAAATAATTTAAGTAAATATAAATATGTCGTAAGTAAAACAAGGACTGCGCTAAACTTTAAATAATAGTAATAATAATAATAATAATAATAAATGACGCTTTATGCCAATTGTTGTTGTTGTTGTTGTTGTTGGGATCTTTGGTACTTTTAGCTGCGTTTTCTTTGCCAATTTTGGATTTGGTATTTAGGGTTACAAAAAGAAAAACAAATTCAAAAGATGTAAAAAACATTAACTATGAAATAAATTATGTTAGCTTAGATCTAAATAATATTTAGTTACCTACATAATATATGCTTATAGATAGAGCTAGAAAAGTCTTCTGTTTTTTGGGTGTATTTACAGAGCTTAAATCTAAGATTGAGCAGAGATTAACTTAGCCAGTAACTAGTGCGCGAGGAGCATGTCCTCGTCTCGCTTAACAATATATATTTAAATTAATTTAAATTTTTTTTTATCGCTTGCCTAAACAAAACAAACTTTGGCTTCATAGCAACGACTTAGACGACTTTGCATTTGCAGGCGTGCCAACTTGGTGGTAACTGGTATTCTTAGCTTAGGGTCCACTGGATTCGGATGGTGTCTCATCCCATAGGTGAAATACATGAGTATTTCTATTTACATATCGTGTTTTGGCTGCTGCTGCTTAGCAGCTGCTGCTGCTGACCTCCATTTTGATGGGCATGGACGGCGCGGCCTCCTCGTGGCGACTCTCCCGATGACGTCGCAGATCCACCTTGCGCTGGAAGGACTGATCGCAGAGGCCGCAGCCGAAGGGCTTGTAGCCCGTGTGCTTGCGCATGTGCGTGATCAGATTGGAGCTCTGGCTGAAGGCCTTCAGGCAGACGGTGCACTTGTGCGGCTTCTCACCTGCGCAAATCAATAAAAAACAATTATTGTAATGAAAGCAAATTTATACAAAGAGAGAGAATGAGAGAGAGGGGGGAGGGGGGGGGGAGAAAGTGGGAAGAGAAGGTGCTTATTAATTGTCTAGCTTTACTACATTTTAAGCAATTAGACAAATTGAAAGCTGATAAACATCGACGAGCGTTTGCCGTTTGAGGGTGGCTCAAATCACACATTAGGGTGGACATGCAAAGAGCTGTTAAAGTTCGTTTACGCTTGACACATTTGCACAGTATTTAGATAGATTTATACATATAGAGTTTAAATATATATTCTTTATATATACACTTTATGTGAAATCAAATATTTTCAATTGATCAAGGACATGGCAGAGAATAGACTAAATGCACTACAAGCAAATTCAAGTTCTTATATCCATATCCATATATAGTTTAGCTCGTATTCAGACTATAGTATACAGTCTATTTCATATATAATCTAGCTCATATATAGTCTAGCAACCCTTTGTCTCTTAACTTTTAGCACAAGCCAAAGTTAGTTTCATGTGGGTCAACAGCTATGACAGCTCACAAACAAAGCTTGCTTATCACATATGCAAATAGCAGAAAGAGATAGAGATAGAGATAGATACTGAGAGAGAGAGAGAGAGGGAGAGTGAACTTACCCGTATGTATGTACGTGTGCTTCTTCATATCGGACTTCTGATGGAATCGCTTGCCGCAATACTGACAGGGATATGGCCGGGTATCGCTGTGTATTAGCAGATGTGTGGATAGTGTTGAGGAGCGCTTAAACGATTTGCCGCACTGTTTACACTGCAAGAAAAGAAAGCCGAATTGGAGCGGGTTAGAGCAAATAACCTAGTCGTATTTGAACAGCCTGAAAGGCCAACGAATTTGGCGGCAAATAAAATCTCAAACAAAATAATAATGTGTGTGCTAAATACTTATGAATTAAACTAGATTTGTGAGTGTGCAAATATTTATTCACAGGTGCTTATAAATAGGGTAAAACCCACAGGCAGTGCTAGACAATATGGCTGACTGGCAAGAGACACAGAGTGAGAGGGGGGGGAGAAGGCAGCGGGAGGCGTGGCAGTCTATCATAAAGTTTTTCGCGTTTATTTTTAAGGAACAGCTATGCAAACAGCAGCAGCAGCAGCAGCAGCTCAGCTCCGACTCAATGTTAAATCTCAAGTGAAATTCATTTCTTCAAGATGACAAAATATTATTAAGCTATATATATACGAAATATATACATATATATATAAATATGTGTGTCTGTTGTTATTTGTAAGCCAAACACAGCTGTGGGGGCATTGGGTATCGAGGACTGGGCAACGGGTCTGGTCTTCGCCTCGTAACATCTTCGCAACGAGGAGATTAAATGTTTGCACAGTTTGTCTGGCTGCAACATGCAACAGTATCTAAACATTGTCGCTCCCGCATTGACACAACTCAATCCCATTCCCAACCGCCTCGGCTACGTGTGTGACATTTATAAGAAAAACAAAACACAAAAAAAAATTATTAATAATGAGAAAAACCTTTCGAAAACCTACGCATACTGTCAATTGACACAAGTGCGCTGCTTAAAAACAAAAAAGTACAACAAAAAACAAAATAAGGTATACAAGAAAAAAAAAACAATTTTTATTTTAGTTTTTTTTTCTGCTTTTGGATTTTCTATTTGTGGATTGCATTTGAGCTGTATCCATGCCTAGACAGAGCTCCAATTAGTTGGCCCATTGTTACGGCCCCAGTCTGAGCCATAATGTCAATTTGCTCAACTCGAAAACGTAACGGAAGTTGGCAAAACTCTCGCGTAGAAACCCCAAATACATGACTCAGCCGCAGCCGCAGCCGCAGACTCAGACTCAGACTCCAAGTCAAGCCAAGCCAAGTCGGCCAGGCCGGGTGGGCCATGAACAACAGCAGATGTAAAGACTTACAAAAAAGCCAGAGCCAAGAAGAAATATGAATGCGCCTGCGTCCAGGACTCGAGCAACTGTTTCGACCATATGTCTGGAAACCCTTTCGACTCAGCTATCGCATTTCACCTGAGAGAAAGAGAGAGAGAGCCAAAAACTCTGCCGCTCATTCCTTCGGCAAATGTGTGAAAGCGTAGCCGCCTGTCGCGGGTGTTGAAGTGCCTTTGATAAAAACATAAACTGACAGCGGGGGTAGTCAGAGCATGACCATGCCCCGAGCCCGGCCAACTGCAGCTCAAATAACATGCCTTGGTCGTGTGCCCTCTCTGCCTAATGTGGCAAAAAATGAATATGCTTAAGAGACCCTCGAACAAAACGACAATTACGATTGAGCCCAAAGCATTGAAGGCGTCATTTATATGCATAAATCTTCAGAGGGGAGTCTTGCCTGCTCTCCGCCCCTTTTGGGAAAATAATCAAAATTATTTGATTAACTAATTGCGTGATTTCGATTGTGCCTAATTGAATTTCCATAGAAGAGTTCGAATGAAATATATATATATATATAAAAAGCAAACAGTTTGTGTTCTTTATGACATGATATTGTGCTGTGCCACTTTCCCAAATTGAATTGGGTGGACAAACTGTGGGCAGAGCAATTAAAACGCGACAGGACCTTCGAAAATATGAAACAATTAACACGGGTAAATTGAGGGAGGGGGTAGAGAGGGGGAGCGGGAGAGACAGACACGCAATGCAAGCGATATGCCAGATATATGCTGAAGACTTATGCAATGAATTTACTACTTACGGCAGGCGAATTGAAAAGGACTCGAGCTGATGTCACGTGATAGGGTCATTAGCAACAAGGACAAGGCTTTGACAGTCTACAGATTATGATTTACTTTTCTAAGATTTATGGCAGATACTTCAGATAGCAGTAGCTATAGCTGAATGCTCTCTCTGCCTCTCTCTCTGCACTTCCGCTTTTAACTCTGATTCGACTTTGACCAAAAACAAGACCAGAAAAAGTGGAAAAAATTAACTTCCCGTCTGGCTTACCTGAAAATTTCTGCCGCTGCGTTTCTCCTCGCACTCGCCTTGATACGACGATGAGGAGGACGAACGACGCGCAACATCTGTGGCCGTCGAATCAGGATGTTGCTGCTGCTGCTGCTGTTGCAACTGTTGCTGCTGATGCTGAGTCGTGTGTTGCTGCTGGTGTTGATTACGCATGTAGCCCAGTTCGGCGGCTGCCACAAGACCCATGAGAGCTGCTGCCGAACGTTTGTTCTCCTGCTCAGCCTCAGACTCGGCTTTAACCCGCTGCTGCTGCTGTTGTTGTTGCTGCTGCTGTTGCTGCTGCTGCTGCTGTGTTTTAAGGTGCTGTGTGAGCAGCTCCAGATTGTTGCCAGTCAGACCAGCCATGAAAGCGCTGCGATGTGCGTACAGCTGCTGCTGCGCCGTCTCAAAGTCCAGGTCCTGTGCGACACTCGTCGAGGACAACGGCGACTGCAGCGACGATATGGAGGCAGCTGAGCGACGTTCGTATTTGAATTTGCGCACTATGGGATCCACTTGCTGCTCCTCAAAGTCTTCTCCAGTTGCTGCTGCTGCTGCAGCTTCGTGCCGCGTGGAGCGCTCGCACATGGATGCCGGCGACCAGATGATGTTGCCCTGCGAGCGACGCTGCTGCGAGGGCGTGCCAGCATTGACAGTCTTCAGATTGACAGCTCTCAAAGGAGGCGGCGTGGTCAGATGCAGTGGCTGCTCCCGCTCATCGAGGCTGAGGCTGCCGCCGCTCAGGCTGCTACTGCTGCTGCTGCTGCTGCTGCTATTGTGATCATGATCCTGATCCGAAACGGATCTGGCGCGCTGCTTGGTGCTTAAATTCAGTGGCATATCTTCATCCTGCTGCAGCAGCACATGGCTGCTGCGGCTGCTGTTGTGCTGCAGCTCCTGCTCCTTTTCGGGCGTTAAGGCGTAGTCGCGATCACGCTGGCCAAGCACAATGGAGGCGGGCGATTTGGGTGTCATAGGCGTTAGGGGCGTGCCCAATGCCGAGGCCGAGGAGAGCAGAAATTGCGGCCAGAGCAGAGCGCTCGAGTAGAGCAGCGGATTGTAAAGAAAGGGCAGATCTGTGGGAGAAGTAGAGATATAGTTAGGCTATATGTATGTATGTATGAAGGGGGAATGTGCTTAAAGAAAAATTGAGATTGATGAAAATATCATCAAGCTTTCATTAGTTTTATTTGTAGAGGATTGAGAATGAAATTGTGATGGAAAACGTTGAAGTTGAAATTTAAAGGATTTTCTTATATGACATAAGCTATTATATAAAATACTGAACCCTTTTATATAATTAGAAATGATTACGATTTTATAAACATTTTATATATTTTCTAAATATTTCATATATTTCATAAGCGTTCAATATTTTATGAAATATCTCAAAGCTTCATGTGTTAAAAATAATTTGAAATATTTAAATTATGAATTCGAAATATTTAAAAAAATATTTAACGTTTGTGAATACATAAAATTTATTAACATTCATATAAGATATAAAGTAAAGGTTTTTTACCGATTATTAATATAATTCCAATGTTAGATATTTTAAGTCTGATGCCTTAAGCATTTCCTTGAAAAGTTTAAAGCGTTCGGTAAGACTTATTTCCCGAGAGATTTAAATCTTTAAGCTGTTGAAATGATTTTCTTAGCTTTTTATAGTATTTTGTAAGTATTTCTCTGGAATTGGTTAGGCTTTAAGTCACATTTAATATTCACTCAATTTTATATAAATATTTTAAGCCAAATATTTGCTATTTTAGGCATATTTTTATACATTTTTCTTTTAGCCATCACAAGTTCTAGATACTACTAAGGCGTGCTTAACGCTCATATCTTAGACTATTTCTCCTAATATTTAAAGCCTTCTAAAGGCGTCTCTGCTGAACTTCTGTTTAGACACCATATAACGCCTTAAATATGGCTCATCTCAACTTTTACCTCCCTACAAAATTGTCTTAGATCTACTTGTAGGCCATCTCACAGATTTATGCCTCTTCCGTCGATCGACTCACCTCGATTGTTAAGCTTTTGCGCGGCAGCCGAAGCTATAACCGTATTGAAGGCCGAGGCGCGCTGCATCCATTGCTTGTCCAGAGTGGGACCGGCGTAGCCCGCTGGACTGGGCTGCGAGTGCGGCGATGGCGGCGGCGACAAATGATTCATTTTGTTGGCCTTAGGCACTGGCTCTTATAGACCTTTTTGGTTAAGCACTTTCCGAAAAACACTTGGCTAAATGTGGCCAACAAAATTTTCAAATTCTTTTTTCGTTTTCTTGTTTATTTCAAACTAAAACTTGACAACAATTTGAAGACGAGACACGAACACAAAGATCGCTTGAATTGCTCGAATTATTTACTAACTTTGATAATTTTTGGTAACAGATCTTTGTGTATGAAAGTTGGTTCGCTTGTGAGACGCACACGTCTGTATCGCTCGGTGCTTCGCACCTGACTGAATCTTTGGCCGATTGTGCGGTTCTAAATTGAGCCAACGGTGAAGCGAGTGCCAGGCCGACTTGGCCCGAAAATCGAGGCTCAATACACGTGTGTGTGTGTGTGTGAGTGCATAAGTGTGTGTGTGTGTGTAAGCCGAATCAAAACGAACCCTCATTGCGTTCGTATTGGTGTTGACTTTAGTGGTGGCTCTTGAGCCCTTTTTGTTCGCCTCTAAGCATGTGTCTGTGTGTGTGTGTGTGTGTGTGTTGCCAACTCTGGTTTTTCACCTTTGGCAGCAGTTGGCAGCCGCTGCTGTTGCTGTTGCTGTTGCTCTTGTAGTTGTTGTTGTCCTGCATGTTGTAAGGGTCAAGACACACAGTTACGCAGCGCCAGGGCCCGCGCCGCCTGTTCTCCTCTCTATCAGTTGCTTTGATCGTGCGCAGCTCACATTGTTGTTGCTGTTGTTGCTGTTGTTGTTGGCAGCACGCGTTTCTCAACTAATTGGTATGCAGTTAAAGTTTGGCGGGCGTTTGCTGCATTGTTGCTCTGCGCTGCCCTCGTCGCGCTGTTCTTTCGTATTGTAACTGTTACAGTTGTTATTGCTGCTGCTGCTGCTGTTGCTATTGCTATTGGCATTGCTGTTGGCACAACTGACACCAACTGTTGTCCAGCCCGGGGCTTATGCTTGTGACTGACTCAGCTAAAGTACAGGCGCGTGTGAGCGAATCTAAAGGATATTCGAGGGTTGAGCGTAAGCAAGCTGAGATCTAAATGATCTGACTGATCCCAGAGTGTGAGAGACTTGTACTATTTTAACGGATATATAGCCAGATTATTGGCTATGCATAGGTAAGTAGATTATACTACGGAACTGTATTTCTTAATGTACATTTGATTATATTTTATAGAAAAGCTGCTTGAGTTGGCAAATACAATTATTAAAAATATTTATGCATGACAGAAGCTTGTTAAATATTTTTAATTTAAAAATAAAACAAATATATGATATTTTTGAGAAGACCACACGTAGAAGAACAAGACCTAGCTATTCTAGCTATTATATTTATAAAAAAATATATTTTAAATATTTTTTTAAGCACTCCAATTACTAATATTGGCATTTAAGTTCTCAATGCTATTCCACATGGAATTAAAATCAGATTGGAATTATTTTTATATTTATTTAAATTTATATATTAATTATAATTTATGCTTATATACATATGTATTTTGTACAAATGTGATATAATAGATTATATATTGTAAAATAATAAAAAATTGGACTTATTTGTAAAAGCCTTAAGAACATTAAAGATGAGATAAGCTACAGAAATATTTATTTTGATTATTTATTTTTATTTATTATAATAAAATCTACTACAGCATAGATTTTTAAAATAAATAAACACTGTTTATAAATATATGTATATAATTAATAAATGCTTAGCTCTCGCTGCGGATAAAAAAAAATTTCCTAAATTGTAAAAGTTTCTTTATTATATATTTATTTATTCTTAAAGTGCCTAGAGCGTCTGACACTTTTGGAGTCCGGGCTGTAGAGGAATTCTTTCAATTGAGATATAGCCAAGTCCTGCTGCCAGATGTAGTTTACTTGACTTTGGACTGAGCAACTATTTAAAGTTATGTTTATTTCAAAATATATATATTTATCCACATATATTTCGATACCTTTCCGACTTGATCATTTCAAAAGTGTTTGGCACTTATCTGAAATTTTAGAGCAATTAAAAATCATGGTTCATCACCTGCCGCTGTGGCTGCGACTGCATTCTCTGCCTTTAGATGCACCTTTCCTCATAGTTTACAGTTTTTTCTTAGTCGCTCGTCCTGAACGCTGTCTTCTTCCTACACTCTGGCTGCGCTCATCCTTGCTCGCTTGGTCGCCTCTGCTGCTGCTGCTGCTGCTTAGTTATTTCCAGTTTATGGCGCTGTGGCCCACACACCTGCCTAGGTTACGCCTGACAAGAAAACGCGGGCACACTTCGAGCAACTGGCAACAGCATTTAACGATCCTGTTCGGATGAGTTCCTTCTTCTTTTCCTTTGGCGCAATTTTCTCGAACGCCTTTGCATGCATTTAAAGGACATGTGCACGCCATTACAGCAGTTAACTGGAGATCGGGAGACACCCCCGAGGACATTCCAAGACACGAGCGTGCCACAAGCCGCAATAGCTCAAGCGAAGCATGCCATAGACACATGCATAAGACCCCATATATAGGCTATATAGCTATGCATATAGTCAGCACTATATCAGCCCCGATAGTCATTCATTATTGTAGCTACGATGAGGGCTGTTGGTTGGCTGGTTGGCTTGCTGGCTGGCAGATCGCCCTCGTTGCGCTTCAGAGCGCGAGGGTTCGCATCGAGGGTTAGCGGTAGCCGCAACCGCCTGGCTTTTGTAACGGATTCACCTTATGCCAGACGCGTGCCCATCCATCATCGTTTGATATGCGCAGTCGCAAGCGGCACAGGTAACAACAACAACACAACAAGAAGAACAGCTAGAGCAACTGTGTAAATCGCATAGCGTTTTCCATTTTCCATTTTATGTTGCTCTTTCCATTTTTATCGGGCTCATTTTTGTTGTTGTTTATGAGTGCGACACATTCCCAGTTACACCCTCAGCTTTGTTTGCATTGCGTTCGCCTCTCTCTTTGGCTCTCTGCCAAACAAAAACAAATCCCACGTTGGCTTCTGCTTCTTTTTTCGCTGCGCCGAATGCCTTTACACTTGGTCGCTTGGCTCGTGGCGCGGCGCAGTGCTCGTCGCTGATTGGCCGAGCTCGCCAATGGGCGTTGACTGCGCGTGGACCGCGCTGCTCACCCCTCTGCCTGGGCAAGCGCAAGCAAACGGGTTTGTCACTGTGTGCTGTCCGTGTGTTGCTGTCGGTCTCTCTTGCCTGCCTCTTACATGTGGCTGCGTGGTGAAGTTGAGTTGCCGAGCTTAAGCAAACCGTTAGTCCATTGTATTTGATTTTTATGTGTGAGTGAGTGTGTGTTTGCATTGAAAGCACCAATTGGCTGTCTCAAATGTAACGGTTTCTAAAAAGCATTTTGTGCACTTTGGGATTAGATTTTGGTTTTAGCTTTGATTTTATGCCGAATTTGCTTGAGAAGCTTATATAACATATATTAAATGATAGAAGTATTATTATTGTATTCTATAAACAAGTTAAGAAAAAGAAATAAGCTAGTAACTGGAATTAAAAATTCTCAAATAGTCAAGAATCTTTATAAATTTCAAGCCTTAAAACCTTAGGCTTAGGTTTTATACAGAGAATTTAATGAAATTCTAATAAAGAGCACTAAATGTATATATAAAAATATATTATAAACTGAGTTTCAAATTCGAAATTTATAATTTCATTTAATAGAGACTTAAAAAAACTTAAAACTTAAAATAAAAATTTTTTTTCGTATTTAAATATTTTATATATTATTCTCTATCTTGGTATACATAAAGCGACATCTGAAAATTACGAAAACAGTTGCTACGCATTTTTCCTTGGCAGTCCCTTTGAATTCCAGACCTTCGGAATGCGTTTGCTTCTGTTCTACGCACTGGCAATCTTCACTGATTTATCGCACAATCTGCCGTCATCTTTTAAGTGGGCAGCCATTTAAGTGTATTCTATTTGTCTCACAGTGGGTGCTAGCAGTTGGCAGCAAGCACAAAAAAATTCTTAACAACAAATCAGACGGAAATCTGTAATAAATTTATTATTATGTAGATGTGCGCCCGGACTAACAAATGCGGAAAGCTAAAAGGCAACGGCGACGGCAACAGCAGCAGCAACAACAACAACAACAGCGGCAGCAGGCAGAAGGCGCTGCCGGCTACTGGTTATGAGCACGACGAGCAGTAGAAGAAGGAACAGGGTCCACACTAAATGGATGCCGAGGCAGCAGTCGGTTCATATCGTGCAGATTGTTGGCAATTATTAAAATGATAATTGCACAAATCTGGCTATCAATTGACGACCATCGAAGACCTTAGACCAAAGCGAGACCAAAAACGAGCGAAAGCCGCAAAACAAAGCAACCTCACAGACGTACATAGATCCAAAACGCATGCGCAGCCCCAGCCTCAGTCGCGGCTTCAGCCTTAGCTTTGGCTCTGCAGGCAGCCCGAACCCCAACTACAGCGTCGACCAGGCCTGTTGGTCTGCGTCTTATCATGTGGCGTTGGTGCGCGGCTTGCAGCATTTTGCAAACGTTGACAATTTGGTATTAATTTAAGACAACAGCAGCAAGCCTCCTGGGCAGCCACAGAGAGCCTTGGCTAGAGCATGCAGACCCCGACAGTTGTTGCCCACTTGGCCACTTGGCCAGAGCCGCCAGAGCCGCCAAGCCACTGGCAACGAGACGGACATTTACATGCTGCTCCCTCCTTCGCCGCTGTCTCGCCCGCTCCACCCGCTGAACAAACAATGAAATCTGCGTAGTTTACTGTTGACCCAACCTGAGTGGAACAGCCAAGCAGTGTGACCAGCTGCGTTTCGCAATGAAAAGAGGTTTGGCCCAACTCTATAGGCAGACTGAAATGTAGACAAAGCTTCCTTCTGTGATTTGATATATTTGTATATATGAAGAAAAAAGAGAAAAAAAATATTTTAGATATTTTAGAATAGTCAATTTCTCAGCAGATAGTAAATTTATATATAAAATAATAACTTTCAAGCCAGGAAGAAAATTCTGATACAAAA